CTATATTTGAACATATGCAAATAACAATTAAAATAAGACATAAAAAGTAAAATTAAATAAAAAAAATAAATAAATCTGAAAAGTTGGTAACGCATCTATTTTGGCACCATTCCCAAAACGTTTTTGATAAACCTAATATGTGAAAATGCTGTAAACTTGTTTTTTTTTGCACTCACCACATTCCAAAAAAGAACTGTAAGTCAGTTGGCCTTCAAAACAGATGTATTTCTGTCGATCTCTGTATTTGACACGCACAGCTTGCATCCTGCATTATGTAAAAAAATATATATTTTCAATAATCATATAAACATACTTATCAAAATGAATAAAAAATTAAGATAAAAGATTGAAACCATCATGAAGGTGGCTAACAACTATCCTTAATGGGCTAGGCTCTTTACTTGAATTTAGCCAATCACCACAGCTAAGACGGGAAAAAACATATCAGCTCCATTCAACTCAATGTAAACGGGGTTTATGAACAAAAATGTTTTACTGACAACTTGCATAGTTTACATACAAAGCACGACTTTAATTCTGTTTTTTTTTTAATCGCTGCTCTACGTTCAAGAAACGTTACTAGCATAGTCCTCCCGCGCCATTTTCTGGGCGGAACCCTGGCTCCACATGCTAGAAGAGCCAGCTTCGACTGTACAGCTAGCTCCTCTTTTAAACTCCGTTCCTCAGCTTAAAAATAGCGACAGCCTTGACTTGTGAAAATTAAAAAATGGACGTAGATTGTACAACATTGATGTTTTTTTTTCTGCTTACATTGTTGTAAACGGCTAAATTAAGTTAGCTGAAGCACACATGCTAACTAGTTAGCCAACTATGTTAATTTCTCGCTGCACCCCTCTTCTTTCCCCATGACCACATAGCAGCACAACATCTTTCCACTAGAGATAATTAGTAATAAAAATAAATCGTAAAATATATCTACAACCCATTTGGGGACCTGGCACACAGCTAACCGTCGCCTCCGTTCCAATGCGGGATAACAAGATGGTGGAAGAAACGAAACTTAAGGAACTTCAGTGGGCGTGTTCTTGTTTTACTCTGTTATGATTTACTCTATTTTTTTGTTCCGATTCTATTGACCACTTGCTGGTCTCTCCATCCTCACGTTCTGATCGTCTCTAGCCGCTGGAGGAATCAGTAATCCCTACAAGCCTGTCCTGCTTCAGCTGCACTCTGCTGGTCATACTAGAATGGGGAATTAGGAGAACACCAATTTAATTTAATATCATAACACAGCAATACATCTAATTCGCAATAAAACTAAGTACAAAACACATACACACCAAATAATAAAAAACACAGAAATTATGTGAATATCCTCCTTCGGCCTGTGACCTACCGGCTTAGTTTTACATTTTACATCTGGAAGAAAATATATATATTTAAGAGTTAGATTGCCTCCCCTCATCGACAACACAGATTATGTGCTTGGTAAATAAATAATCTGCACAGTCACTTGACATGTGGTGCAGATTAACGTGGACCTAATAACATTGGTGCATCGATCCGGTTTTCCCATTTTAGCTTCAATGCTAGTTAATACACACACACACACATGGAGGATTACACAACAGTTTTTAACACATATTTCCTCCAGATACATTTGGTACTTTCCACGCTTAATGCAACTAGACAGAGGTGCGCTGGTTAACGAATTCAACATAAAGATAGGCGAATACTACACAAGCCTAGTTTATGAACTTTACCTAGTGCTAACATTAGCTACCACAATATGCTACCGGGGATTGTGGCAGACAAAATATGACTGTCGTCATAAGTTGAGTAAGATGTCTTCTTTGAAACACGGTGGACACTTTAGTAGCTCCTAAACGGTGTAATTTTGTGAAGATTACTTACCATTCGTCCTTAAGCCCCGCCCAGAATGTTCATGTAAGCTTTGCCAAAGCAAATAAAGTTGTATAAGCAAGAAAACGAGTTCAACCAAAAACCAGGAGCTTCAAAAAAAAAATAAATAAATAAATAAATAAAATAAAATAGACTCAACCAAAAAACAGGAGCTTAAACAAAAGTTTCAACCAAAAGAAAAAAGTTTCAAACAAAAATTAGTGACTTCAATTAAAAAAAAAAAAATCTTTAAAAATTTTTTTGTTTTGTAAAAAAATATTTTTATGATTAAAAAGTTTTAAAGATTTTTTTGTTTGAATTTATACTACTTCTTTTGTTTGACATGATTTTTTTTTCATAGAAATAAATCTAACTCCATACTCTTTCAGATGAAAATAGTGTTAACTCTGAAAAAGTTACTCTCCTTTTTTTCCTGTGTAGTGGGGCCTGGACAGAGTAACAGGAGATCCAGAGGATGACCAAGAGTAGTATGTATACATACTCTATATAAAGCCTCGTTTTGGCATCGCTTCGAAGAATTCAACCTGGAATGCGGCGTTCGTAACAGAGGCATGTGTTCATCTGCTCTACCGCCAGCAAACAACCGTACTGATTAAATAACATAAAAGTCAAGCAGTTCCCTAAAAGTCCAACAGATGGCAGCAATGCGCCATGCAAAACAAAACCCCCACAGTTTACAGGACACACTTGATGCTAAAGAGCCCCCTGCTGGTTGAAGAAAATCCACATATAAACCGGAAAAATACAATAACTGAAAAAAAAAATCTGAATGTATTGTTCAGGGGGCCGGACCAAATGTGGAGGCGGGCCCGCGGGCCGTAGTTTGGGGACCCCTGTAGAGGATGTACAGCGATCTCTCGTTTTTCGCGGGGGTTGCGTTCCGAAAATAACCCGCGATAAGCGAAATCCGCGAAGTAGATACCTTTATTTTATTTTATTTTTTTTTACAATTATTACACAGCATAATTAAATACTCTACATTGAAACCAAAGAACAAAACTTGTTTTCAGGTCAGCGGATGTGCGTGTGCATCAATTGGGCCTTAATGTGATCTGGAGTCGTGTCATTAAAGCGTCTCCTCCAACCTGCCCCGCGAGATTCACAGCTGTATCTACGGCAGAGCGATGGATCTGGTCAAGCGAGCCTCCGGTCGGGTTTTGCGCTGCTTCTGACCACAGTTTTTTCCAGCAGGCATTCAAAGTTTTCAGCTTTCATCTCCTGAATGGCCAAGCTGTATTACTTATATTTAAATACCGTAACGTTATTGGCACACAGACAGAAGAACCGCAGAGACTGCTTAGCCAATCAGGAAACAGAACACAATGCACTGTGAAAAAAACTGCACAAAAAAAAATCAGCGAAGCAGCGAGACCGCGAAAGGTGAAACGCGTTATAGTGAGGGATCACTGTATTAGGCATGTACTGCCGATCTGACATTTGTGCTTTTATTTATTTTGTTTGTTTTTATGTATTTATTCATGGTTACTGTCCTTTTGGATGGGCTTTTATTGTTGTATTGCAGTTTTGCCCCTGCTTCCAATATAAATTTCTTCTATGGGAGTCTAATAAAATTATCTTAAAACACTATAGTACTATATTTTTGTAATAATACAACCTCTGTGTAATAAACAAAAAATTACCAATGTTGATTTTTCTTCTAGCTTTTCCTACCCAAACTTAAAGACTGAACCCTATTGTTTAGTCTTGGAATGCTGTTAGAAAGGAAATTTGCTTATAGTTCCCCCAACAAGGTCACAAACTGCTACAACCTGGAACCCCTTGGCTAGGCAAGTTCTCTGTAAAGATCTCTGCCATTCACTGTACCAGATTTATCAAAAAGAAGTAACTATGTACTTTTACACTTTTGTGGGGATGATTATTACAATATGTAATTTTTGTACAACACCTGCAACATCTCCTACAATTTTATGCTGTTCTACTGTATATATTTTTTTGTCATTGGGTCAAATTTTTCTTCTTTACATCAAACAAATTTCATATAGTAGATTTTTATAAGTTGTCTTTTTTCCAAAAAGCTATTTGATATATGTGGCTCTAAATAACTGTATTTAGCTGAACTGAGGGCAAGAATAGCTTTGTTGTATTTCCTTTTAATTCATGTAAAGCACTTTGAATTGCCTTCAAAGTGAATTGCAATTCACTGAAAATGTGCTATATAGCTAAAATTACCTTACCTTAGTTTGACAGGGAAGACTGCAGACCCCTGATCTATACCTTCTAATGTTTTGGGGTGAGGAGACACAACAATCATGCAAGAATCCCCAGAACCCAGCGACCCTGGTTCATTGCCAATATTAGGAAACTAATTCACCTAATATATTTGTTTTAGACTGCAGGAGGAAGCAGTGGCGCAAAAAGTGGGTATGCAGCGCATGCAACGCATAGGGGCGCTGCACCAGAGGGGGCGTCAAAACCCCGTCTGGAGGGGCGCCGCCGATGATGCCTTCGCATACACTTCACCGCACCCTTACGCACATGTAAATGTAAATGCAGCGAGTTTTACCTTTCACGTGCCTTCCTCTCGGGTGTGGGGGGTGGATGTTAAACATACGGACGCTCATACGGATAGAGCGACCGTATGTTTGCTACGCTCCTTCACCCTTATGTGCCTTCCTTTTTTGGGGGGAGGTGGGGCGATTTCTGTTTTCGCATCCACCTGAATAATATGTAGTTGCGCCTCTGGGAGGAAGCCAGAGTACCCAGAGAGACCCCATGTTTCCAGTCTCCACACAGGAAGACCCCAAACCAGAATCTCAGAGTAGTTCCCCCTGCAGAAAGGCAACAAGGTAAACAACTGCTCCACCATTCTGCTGAAGATTGAACTCTAAAATCTTGGTTTGAGCCCAAAGAAAAGCTTTATTTTACATATACATACATACTGATTGAGCTGTTGTGTCAGAACAGTGATTGGTTTTGTCTGACATCACACAAGCTGCAATTCAACCAACAACCTAATAACCCAACATGTCCCTATAATCATCAGCACCTTTTCATTTAGCAGAAATGTTTGATTTTTTTATGCATTTGAAAAAGTATTTAGTCAGAATCAGATTTTAATCCTGGTGTGTTTTATGTCCCAGACTGATGTTATAGATAGTGAGGGAAAGATTCCTGATGTTGAACATCTTTGTCCAAAATGGAGATTCTTAATGGTACCTTCCAGGAAATTAAGCTTTTTCATATTGCATGAAAAAGCAGACATGGATTCTCTCTGGGCACTCTTATCCTGAGGAAAAGCTCTGCAGCACAGTGGAGCGTTTAATGAAGCAAACCACTTCCTGCTTTCCTTTTAATAATGCCACTGCACATTAAACCCACCCATTGATATAAGACCTGAATCAAAATAGACCTGAATTTGTTTTACACTCTGAATCAACAGCCCTGAAATACAACTGTCACTTTTATTGCATAATTCATGTTTTCAGCAGCAGTCAACTGTGTAAACAGCTCCATCTTGTGTCCTGGCAAAGTAAATTGTAGTGCAGTCCATAAGTGACAGGAGAGATCTATAGTAACTAGCTACAATAACTATTAGAATTAATGAGTTACAACACTTCTTTTCCGTTTGGGATCAGTACAGGGTTTTTTTATATTTAATTTGAATACAGTAAGGATTTAGTTCTTTAATCAGCTCATACATGTGGAACATTTCATCACAAGGTTTTGACTTAATTTTATAGATATTAAATGAAATAATAGTGGTATTGTAATGTATTTCTCATCATGTAATATAAAACTGGTTGATGTGATTTCTGAAGGAGGATCTATAGCTACTACAGTGACTCCTGGAGCTGGAAATGTTGGAATGCTACCGCCAGCATGGCTCAGTACAACCTGCTGCTGTGGTAACGTGATGATCAGCAGCGTGTCAGAGAATATCAAACAGATCAGATTTACATGTTCCAGATAGATACCACACACTGCCATCTGAATCGGGACACTAGGTGGTAGTAGTTCTGCTAAATACTGCCACAACATAAACCCATCCAGTTTTGTTTTACAGTTCTAACTATTTTGTCTAATTTTACATCAGTGAACACAGGAGTCATTTCTTTTTCCACAAGTGGCTGTAGCTGTCCACCTTAAAGTCATCTTCATACAGGTCTACTGTCTGTGTTTTGGTCTTCTTCACTTCCCTCCTCTTCTGGCGAGAGCGGCGCTCCTCTTCAGACAGAGTCGACAGGTTTACAGGCATCTGCCAAAACACACAAACTGCACCATTTAGCTTTACTGTCCGAACTTAACTGATTCATATGATCTGGTTAGATCGAGATGCCCTACATTGTCATATAGATTTTTGACCTTGTTTAGGTTCTCCAATGCAGTTTACTTCTACTATTTTTCTCCATAGGCACACACCGGTGTGAACCAGCTCCAGCCTGATGTGGTGGTTAAAACATCCAAACAGAATGAGAACTAGTGATCTGCTGGTGTTGGTCCACTTTGCTTTCTCAAACCCAAAGTCAGCACTGATGTCCACCAGGACATTTTCATGCTTCCTTCTACTAACAAGCTTTATGATGTTGCTAAATGTCATACTTGTGCCTAACAGCAGGACTGGGTACATAGTAGCTCCTCATTTCAGTATTAAACAGTCTTTATTATTTGTGGTGCCAGGTGGCTCAATGGACCAGCATATCTTCCCTTTTTTCTCTGCCAAGCTACTGATGAACACCAGCAATACAAAATATGAAACAAAAACAACTTGTTTTTGTGGATCTTACGTTATATTCAAATTATCTAGTTTTGTTAAGAAGCTTAATCTTGTACTTTTAGTTAACTGCAAGCTAATTAAAGCTTCACAGTACAGGTTGTGTAGCAAGTATGATTTCAGTTTTCTGGTCTATCACCAATCTCTAAAAAGCTTGACCTGCAGATTCTGATTTTGGCTGATATAGATTTTTTTGCTTCAAAAATCCCTAAATTGACAACAGTGGAGTGACCGTTAACCACAGATGTGACCCGGTGGGCGAGCCAATCAGTCCTCTTACAGCAGAGATATACATTTTAAGACCAATCTCGCAAAAGTAACTAAATCAGGACCAGTTTATTCCTCCTGGTAGCAACCATTCGTGAAATACTGTAACGGAGTCCTTGAATAGGATATTTGCCAGTCAGAGAACATGCATTCA